ATTTCAAGCACCACCGCGTGGCTAATAATAATAACAATAACAATAATAATAATAATACATTGAACTTATATAGCGCTTTTTAGGACACTCAAAGACACACACAATCTCACATTCACACACTGCTAGTGATGGTAAGCTACTTTGTAGCCACAGCCACTCTGGGAGGTCTGACAGAAACGAGGCTGCCATTTGGCGCCATCAGACCCTCTGACCACCACCAACACAGGCAAGTTGGGTGAAATGTTTTGCCCAAGGACACAAGAAATAGAAGAAGGAGAAGAAAGTATCATTTCTATAGCGCCTCTCAAGATAAAAATGACGAGGCGGTTCACAAAAGCAAAAAATGTAAAAATATAAAAAAGCATTTAGAAAATGTTTAAAATATATTGAAAATGAGCAAAAATGGGCAATTGTGATTAAAAAAATGTTAAGAAGGAGAGAGTGAATAGGAAAGAGGGAAATCAGTGGATCCTGAGGAAGGTGGAATAGGCGGGGAGAGCAGAATAAAGAGAGAGTGGTGAAGAAGGTCATACAAAAGCCAGCTTGAACAAGTGAGTTTTCAGCTGCTTTTTAAAGGAGACCACTGAGTCCACTGATCTCAGGCTCAGGGGGAGAGAGGTCCAGAGTCTGGGGGCCACAGCAGCAAATGATCTGTCACCTTTGGTCTTTAGCCTGGTGCTGCACAACCAGTAGGCTTTGATCACTGGACCTCAGGGACCTGCTGGGGGTGTAAGGACTAAGAAGATCACCAATGTAAGATGGTGCTTGTCCATGTAAGGCCCTATAGACCAGAACCAGGATCTTGAAATGAACCCTGAAGTTGACTGGCAGCCAGTGAAGCTGGAGGAGAAGCTGGAGCTGGAATGGAACCCATGACCCTCAGATCATGATTCAACTCGCTCTACCTCCTGACCCACTGTTGCCCGGCTGTAACAGATGACGCAGAACAGCTTTACGGCACAAACCCAACCGCAGTATTGATAACTTTAAAGTACTATTGATCTTAAAATATTCTAGTAAATAGCATACTTACCCATTTTAAATGAATTAGTCTCACAAAACACGACAGCAAGTCTGATCAAGTAAAAACAAAAGAGTCACTTTCCGCCTCCTGTTCTCAAGCCCTGCATGATGTTGTGACTATCGCGAGGCTTTCCAAGAAGCGCCTCCTGTGTGACCATTTGACTTCCTAAAACCGCGGCGCTTCCACAGCGCAGCACGTCTTCTTTGTGCACCAGGTTTTAGATTAAGGTCAGAATTCTGTGATTAATGTCAGATTTCTAAGAATTCAGTCAGAATTCTCTTTTTCATGTTTTTCTTTTCAGTGGCCCTAATCATCTTCTGTACATATTTGTCTATTAGAAAGTGGAACTGTTCTGTATTAGCACAATTAATATGTGCTGGAGTGCAATGTAAAAATCTTTTAAAGGTGTGGTTCACTTAAAAAAACACATTTAATGATTATTTCTGATTATAATCAGCAACTCTGAGTTTTTCATGCTAGCTGAATATGAAAATAGTCTCCTACACTTACCTCCTGCGGTAGCTTCTGATGGTAATATTTTAAAAGCGTGACAGATCTATGTCACACTGTCACTTAACATTCATTGATTCATCCATCTAGACTCATGAATGGGAAGGCTGTTGTTGGTTTAGCGTTCAGAAAACAGAGAATGTCTTGACAAGTTGAAGCTAACCAGTAGCATTAAAAATGTCACCATGCAGCAGAACTCCTGCAGGCCTGTGTTATTTCATCACCAGTGGTAGAGTCACGTTGCTATTAGCCAATCAGAGGCAATATGTCCAAATATCAGGAAATAAAACTCCAAATCTTGCCGTGTGCAGCTCTTCTCTGATGTGGCATTCTGCTAGTTTCTGAAACAAGCGTGTCTTAGTTTCCCCCTCCGAGTTCAACTTGCAAGGCATTCATTCCTACGAGAGACCACTGCAAATATATTGATTAAATGAGTGTCCAACACCTTTATTAGTTGTTGTAGCTGCTATGTCTATAAATGTGTGGAAAAGGAGTCGTGAGGGATGTCATTATTTTGGTATGTGTTTAGGAAGCCAACGGTTTGCTCTAACCTCTGCTGCTCAGGTTGTTATTCTGGAAGTGCACAATGCAAGGCCACATCTTATTCAGAGGGATGCTCAGAGATGCACACACATTTACATATTGTAGGGTTAGATAAACTGGGTACTTTAGCTCAGTATATATTTTAACTCTACTTGTGACCAGTAAGCTGTGATACTCTATCTAAATATAGAACATCACCTTGCCTGGTCTTCATTGTGTTTAATCAGAAGATTCTTGGAGTCTTCATTCATTAAGGGATTGTACACACTTCATTTTGATTCAACAAACAGTCAGGTTTATAAAAGTAGGAATTTATTTTACAAACAATTAAAACTTGACAAGTTGGTTGACTATTATTTACTGTGAGTGGATGGAACTAAAGGTGATGTCTGGAACCTACTGTATGTGTGAATGCCATGTTGGTCAGAACTTCCGTATCTTGGAGAGCTGAGTTCTGGGTGTAAAAGAATTTGGTTTGTGTTAAGCTATGAGGTTGATTGTTATCAAAAACCCACATCAGACGCTATCTGTGTGTCTACATTACCCGTATTCAGAGACCCTCTTGGTGGATCCGAAAATCAGAGAGGTCGGATGACCGCTAGCACCGGAGGGCTGTAGAATAACGTGGTACCGATCCTTTCAGTCCAGAAAAGTCTCGGGTCACGACAGACGTATGGAACCGAGCGTCTGGGACTCTTAAGGAGTTTAAACAATATCAGCTTGTTCTGCAGGAACTGTTTTGTTGTATCAGCTTCGCAGGTGCGAGAAAAAAAAGGTTTTGACGAAGTGTCAAAATCTTTGGTGGGTTAAAGAGGTTTTTTGCTTCAGGTGGCCGGCCTGAAGCTTCTCTAGAACTGAAGAATCACCAGCGGGATCTGGTTTTAATGTTATGATGTTATGATTGCGTAGCCAACCAAAGGTTGACAAGTTTGGATGTTACCAAGAATCTCAGCGACACACGCCTTCTTTGATCCGGAGGCTCTGATCTGGGTGAAAGGTTAATTATGTGTCATGGACTTAACTTTACCTTACTTTGTACTTGTGTGAGTGCAAATGCTATGACCTTGTCAAGTACACATGCTAAAACACTCATTGAGCACAGATTAATGAAACATTTAATTATTTTATAATTATTATAAGTAGCAATAAACAAATGTTTATTTAATGATTATCTAGCTTGTAAATTTCAGAAGTTCATATTTAATTTTAAAAATCTTCTTTCTTCTTTGAAGTGAGGAGTTTAGATAAAAGGGTTGCTTTGTGAGGGACCTTGGAAAGAACAGGATGTCAATGTTATGATTTTGTTGTCTCTGTCAGAGCTGCAGGCTCTGAGCTCCAGCTGGTGTGAGGAAAGCAGGCTGATTTAAAGGGATCACGTGCAGTCTCGTATCTCCTTGTTGACCAGATGTTGAATGGTCAAACAGTACCTAAACTGACCGTTGCTGGACGTTACAATACCTAACTGCTCTTAAAGTGAGTCGTGTCTGCCTGTGTGTGTAACAATAGACATGCAACTGAGATTTGTTTGTGCAGATTCTGCAGCAGTCAAAAACCACCAAGAGCTCAATGTTCTGCAAGGTAGTTTGACCTGCAGGAACGATCATGCATGTTTAGTGGCTTATTTTAGCCTAAGATCAAGTTTCTCTGAACTGCACGGGAAAATGCTCTGATTTCTTTCTTAAACAACCCAGGAGTCAGCAGCCATCTTTCCTCCCAAACAAACACCCCAGGGATCTCTTTCTCCTGCGTTTGGAGGCAATCAGTCCCATAATGACGGTGTGTTTTCATGTCATTTTTTAAATTCCGCTGGTGTTTGTGTTGTGAGCCTTCCGTGATGAATTTTACCTATCACTCTCGCCTCCATGGCTGACCAATGAATTCTGTGACAGCACGGCCCGTGGTGTTTTTCTTTAATAAGTCCAGAGGTGAGGCAAAGCAAGCAGGCCATCAGTCATCTTGTCAGGATCTTGCCCTCTGATTGCCAAAGGTGCCTACATCATGAACCAGTCTTATCCTTCATGCTATGATTTACATTAGTCAGCTAAAACCTTGTTTTGCTGAAATTCCTGTGACAACATTTAATTTCTAGGTGTTAGTTTTCACTTTTCTGTTTGCCGAACATTCATGGATTCACCACTTTTAAGGTCGTTCTGCAGTAACTTACTAGTTTGTGTGTGTTTGCTTTCTGTATTTATAATAAATATGCATCAATACAATTACACATTATTCAATGTTAATTAGAATTGTAAAGGAATGATGAATGACCCAGCTGCTCCAATAATACAGTCTGAGGACATATGTCAAACAATCTGAGTGCCTAAATTGAGAACTGCAGCTGGAGTAAGTAACCTGAGAAGATTTTGGGATTAAAGTTATTTTTTAAGTTATTATTAACTAGAACAAACTAAAATGTACAAAAGGACATAGGCATGAATTAATGTAGAGTTTACGAGAATATATTGACAGGTAGATGGGTAACAATTTACAATAAGGGTCCCTTTATCAATGTTATTTAGTGCATTATTAAGCAGTAATAAATGTTGTGTCCCTTTATTAACATTTCCGGTATTGTTATTGTTAAGAGTCCTTAAGGTTAAGGGCCGGGGGGGGGGGGGGGGGGGGGGGGGGGGCTTAGTAATGCATTACGCAATATACACAATAATAAGAAGCAATTGTTATTTCTTTATTAAATGGTTTATTAATGTTTAATAATACACTAAGTAATGTTAATAGAGGGACCCTTGTTGTACAGTGTAAATGTAAATGTAACTCAAGACAGTTCATTCTCTCTCTCTCTGTGTGTGTGTGTGTGTGTGTGTGTGTGTGTGCGTGCGTGCGTGCATGTGTGTGTGTGTGTGTGTGTGTGTGTGTGTGTGTGTGTGTGTGTGTGTGTGTGTGTGTGTGTGTGAAATCTGATCTACAGGATGAGCGTCTGTAATTTCTCCAGCCGGCCGTTCGTCTTGATCGCCCTCTGTTCTCCATCAGTCTTCACCTTCTGATCGGGACATTTTGGTCCAGCACAACCCATTCCAGCTCAACCTGAACAGCAGCGCCCTCGCCTTTGGGCCTCAGTTACACACCTCAGAATGGATCTTTATTTACAGCACAGAACTCGGAAACAGCTGGTCAATCCATTTAGCCTAAGGCCACTGATTTGTTCGTATTTACTACAACAGCCAGAGAAAAGCCAGGGTATTTTTTCCTCTCTCCTTCCTATTGATCCGGCGCTTAGAAATTCTGCCCCGCTGTCTAAACACTATTGATCCCCCCCTCTCAACGACAGGCTCTCGCACCAGTGTATAAAGGGACTGGATGAATTGAAATTTCATTTCCGACAACTTGTTCCTGTTATTTTTACCCTTTTTTTCAATAGTTGGGAACAAGGGCTGGCGGGCCACTACTCAGAGAGTCAATACATGTTTGGCTCAGGAGGGGAGACGAGGGATACAGGTGAGACTGTTTAGCTCGCTCTCAGCAGATCTCAATAACAATATGCCATCAACAGGTTTTCTGTCACTTGAATTCCTGCATTTTTGTTTAGAAACCTGGTTGGAGATGTTGGTCAGGCTGAATATGGGTAGTTGGTTATTTCTTCTGACAGCTTCATTAAAGAGCAGCTGGCTGGAAGCCATGCAGCAGGTGGTCCCAAAACATAAACTGTATAAAATCCAGAGCATGTACTAGATGAGAAAATGTAGAAGACATTTTTGTTTTGTATTGAAAAAAAAAATATGTGCACTAAAATAAGTCTTGTCATGGACAGCGGGTTTCTCAGAATCGGCTTTGGACAGTCTGGCTGGGGGGGGGGGGGGGTGATGGTCTTCTGTGGGAAAGGTTAAGCAAATTCTTGATTTATAATAAATGTCAAGTTCACTGAAAAAAAACAGTTTTCTTTGTTTTTTTTTAAAATATGGTTGGTCACTCTGAATTTCACATACAAGCTGAATGTGAAAATGGTCTTCCCTATCTCCTGCATTAGCTTCTGATTTTGAGAAAATCCTGACAGATCTACGTCACACTGTCACTTAACTATCATGGACCCACCCATCTTGACTCATGACAGGAACGATTGTTGTAGTTTTAGCACCCAGGAAACACCAGAGAGCGTCTCGACTAGTAGAAGCTAACCGTTAGCAGCAGCTCCACCACATGGCAGAACTCCTCCAGGCTTGTGTTGTTTGTGGAGATAAAACATCAACGCTGCAGAGCAAACTGAGTCAGTGGCAGAGTCATGTTGCTTTTAGCCAATCAGAGGTGAGATGTCCAAATGTCACGAATTAATTCTCTAAATCCCGCCGTCTTCTGCTCACCTCTGATCTGGCTTACTTCTTGTTCCTGAAACAGGAGCGCCAGAGCTTTTGTAGAGACCACTGCAATTGTGTTGGAAAAACAAGTGAACTTGGTCTTCAAAAATACTTCAATGATTATTTATATAATTAACAAATATGTTTATCAGTCACTTATTTTCTAGATTTGCTGGAGGTTGTAAGATCAATCTCAGCAGAGTTCTGCTCTTTTGCCCTTGGGCAAGGCGCTTAACCCAGCTTTCTCTGCTGTGGTGGTCGGAGGGACAGACCGATGGCGCCAGCGCTCAGCAGCCTCGCCTCCGTCAGGCCCTCCCAGGGCAGCTGTGGCTACATTGTAGCTCATCACCATCAGCGTGAGAATGTGTGTGAATGGATCGGTCTCAGACTTCAAGTCAAGACTGAAGACTCGTTTCTGTGATTTGTCTTTTGGATTATGACCCTTTTTATGCTGGTTTTTACTGTTGTGTGTTTTATTGGTTGTTTCACTTGTTTTATCCGTTTTTTTATTGAATTGTTTTTATATTCTGTTTTATTATGACCTTCTGTAAGGTGCTTTGGTCAGCCCTCAAGCTGTGGTGAAATGCACATGTTATAAATAAAGCGGTATAGTACAGATGAACGATACACTGTGTAAAGTGCTTTGGAGTCCTCTGACCCCGAAAGGTGCTATAAAAGTGCATTTGTCATTGATTTATATTTTATCATACTGACAAATACTGGGCTGTGACCCTGCGTGGACAAGCGGACAATGAATGGACAAATACTGAGAGTAATTTGAAGGAAATTTATTGTTAAAATGTCTTGAATATATTCAGAATTTCAGCAACACAGGAGAGGCTCACACAAGGGAACTGAGAACCCTTTCCAGGGTTTTGAGTCATTTTGCAAACTCCCACATGAATTACCTTTGCAGTTTGCAGAACAAATTTTGTTCATATTTGTCATAAATCCCAAATGAACAACTAAGAATTATCCTTAAAACCAGAAAGATACCCAAAAGAACCGTCGTGCTCTTGTAGAGGAACATGATCTACCACCATTTGCACTAATATAAAAAGATAGTGTTATGCATATTTTAAAAAGGTTACTGTGTTTTAGTTATCATTAATACACCTGTAATGGTCCTAAAGCCACCGGTTATTCCACCTCTTAAGGTTTATGCATATTTTATATATTATTATTGCCTCATCCATAATTCTTATCATAATAATGGCAATTACTGGAATTATGGGTTTATTCCCTAAAGACACACATTTTGCAGCAAACCCAATTTCCCCTGGTTTAACCCCCCACCCCCCCCCCCCCCACCCCAAAAAAAAATTACACACAGCAAACACTGTTAAAGATAAACATATAAACACCCCAGCGTGTCTGCTGCAGCGCCTGTAAAACACTCCATCTGAATTGCATATCCGCCTTGTCATAAGCTGTATTAAGAAAAATGGTCACCCGGTTTGACATAAATTGGAAAATGACATTTGGAAAATGGGTGCTGCTGTGGAGATTAGAGATATTAAAATTATAAATCAGTGTCTGGAACTGCAGAGGGTTGTGGTAGCTTTTCTGCCTTTCTGTTTTCAGTGCGCCTCCCTCCATCTTTGTCCTCATCTCTAGCTCTATTTCTCGTCTTGTCTCTCTGTCACACACTTTGTCTTTTGCGCACTCTCTCTCTCTCTCTGGAAGCAGCATGAGGTCAAAGCCCAGAAGCCAGTTCAGTGAAAGTGGTTTTAAATGCAGCCGCACACAAAGCTGCCCTAAAGGGACAATCCCACCCTCTCATCAGCCTCTAAAAGTGGAGGATGCTGTGAGTTTATGATTTTTGGTGTGTGCTACATTTGTCTTTGCGTGTCTTCTGGAGCTACATCTCGTCAGCTTATTGCTCAGCTCTCCCGTCGCAACCTGCTAATGGATCATCTCTGAGGTGTGATGTGTATTATGCAAAAGTTCGGTGTGCTGACACCTTTAAAAACAGGCTGCTCCAATTCTCTGTACGCCTTACCTGAGCTTCGTATTTTCTGTCTGTGTGTTGAGCAGAAGGAGGCGAAAAGGTAGAACAGAGTGGAGATTTCCAAGCTACAGGTGTAGATAAACAAAGATGTGGGACAAAATCTGCAATCAAAAGGTTAGTGATCAAAAACAAACACACACAGTGTTATTTACCGGATCTGTAAATGCACGACTCGTCGAGTTCCATTATGACTCTCAGAAACTTATGAAAACCGCATTTTTTAAAACACATTTCATTTCTAAGGAGCCAGACGTTTCTATAATCATATAAAAAGCTCATCAGCCCTAGTTTTCCAGGCACTTACTGTGTTTTCATTCCAGTCCATAACTACTCCACAAGAAGTTTTGTGATGTCCTTCAAGACTGTTCTTGACAAACTTTTAAAGAAACGACTAAGAAGTAGGGCTAAAAAGATTAATCAAATAACTCGGAAAAAGTTGACAATAGAAAATGCCTTGCAGCAAAAATCTTTGATTTGATGCTGTTTAATCCACATGATTGCAAAGTCCTCATAAATTACATTATGTGCAATGGAGGATGAAGGAAGAAAATCTGAAAACAGCACATTTTATGGAACAGACCTACAAAAATACTCTGATAAAAATGAAATACTGTAACAATCATTATATGAATAGCACCAGACCTATAAGTTTCTGATTTAAAATGCTTTTGACTTGGACACAAACTGTACAACAGAACCAGTAAATGGGTGCAGCATGCACAAACTGGATAACAGTTGTCAGACAAAGATCTGATAATGCACAACAGATGGAACAGTCCATTGACTCTTTGCATGCATCCTTATGCACAGATTTGCAGCTTGCTCTCAGATGGAATTACATCAAGTCTTGTTTTACTGGTGCTTCTGGTAAAAGGAAGCAAGAGTGGATGGGTTTCTCTGTTTTTACTAGAAGACATATAATATCTCAGCCATGAATCCAGGTGACTGTTAGTTATTGTTATGGAAAGAAAAATATCTTATTAAGGACAAGTAACTTAATTTTTCTTAAGTGCTTAAAGGGAAACTAGGCACTTTTAGCTTTTAGCACCCTCTAGTGTCAATTTCAATTAAAAAAAAACTTTAATCATCCCCGAGGGGCAATTGTTTCAGTACAGAAGAATTGGTACTGTGGTCATTCGCAACAAGAGTCGCGCTACCGTTAATTAGATGAAAAGGGGATCACATGAGGATAAATTGGGGGAGGGGGAAAAAAAGCATACCAGAGTTACTCCCGGCAGGGCGTAACTTTACTATGCAACAAAAACGCCTCAAACATATAAGCACAAACATCAACAATTCACAACATGAGACACTGAGAGGAAGGCGGGGGGGGGGGGGGGGGGGGGGGGGGCTGGGATCCTGTTTCCCCAGCGAGAGCAGCCTTATGGCGCTCAGCCACTGTAGACACAGGTGGGAGGGAGATCTTGGGAGGAGTGCAGAGCACATTGACACCTGCAGGTTGATGACCTCGCCAGGCTGAAGTCCACGAATCCGAAGGCGGGGGGTAGGTCAGGTTTTCACAGCATCTGTCTGCATTCCTTCGTGGGGGTTTGTTGTTGGCATTCACAAGGCTGCCATGGCGTCAGATTCGGATAACAAGACTTTGTTTGGGTCACGCAGAGATACGTTTCCTCTCTGCCTTGAAGTCTGTAACTGATCATTCAAGTCCTCCAGTGAAGCCAATTCAGGTTTTAAACATCTCCACACCGTCCAGTGACCCTCTCCGAGATGACATCAATTTGGGGAACTGAAAGCTAAATCTCTCTCCTCACTGTGCGTTCGTTTTTTTAAACACCGTAATCTAATAGCTGAAATGTCTTTTCAGCCTTCCTTAGTGTCTACAGGAGTGATGCATCACTAAAGTAAACAAATCAGCTGTCCATGATCTAAAACATGCAGGAAATGTGCTGGAATCAGACTGCAGTACCAGGTAAGTCCCAACAGGGCAGCCCGCCAGTCTGAAGTTGCAAGTAAAATAATCTGGCCACAGGGGACGAAATCGGCTGGGTGTCCTTTCATTAACCCAGTGAAGGGTCATTTTAGATCATACCAGAGATGTGACCAAGTCATTATTGTACAAGTCTCAAGTCTTTGTCCTCAAGTCCGAGTCAAGTCTCAAGTAAATTACAGGCAAGTCCAAGTCAAGTCCAAGTCAAGACAGATAAGCTTCAAGTCAAGTCCAAGTCAAGTCGGAAACTTAGAATTTCAAGTCTCTTCGAGTCATTTTTTAAGATGTTGCATTTTTATGTTAAATGTAAATCATATTCAGTGTATTCTCTTTAAAAGCTGTATTTATTTCAAAACCTGATAAAATTAATGCAACTGAACTTCAAAATTTTACATTAAGCAGTTTTCAACTCAACTCTGTTGTACAGTTTTTATTAAACTTGGCTACAATGAATAGTCTTCCTTTAAACCTTAATTTCGCAATAAACAATCAGTGAGCAATGCTGGACTTACGAGTTTCAAACCAAAACCAA